TAGATGAGCTGGGAGCTCCCTGATAAAGGCTGGGATTGCCAAAAACCAGATCTCCCACTTCAGACACACGCCCATTTCACCCAGTATCTGCAACAGGCCATCAAGAGATATTTGGGGAAAGTCAAAGGGATTTCCCTTCCCGAACCTTATATGCTGTCTCATTTTCTGGCAACGAGCAGTTATAGGACTTCAAGTTAGAGACTTTTATCTGGGCTATGTTATTTAATAGCTGCTGAGAGTCAGATTCACAGGTGTGATTCCATTTGCAACCTATTTATATATCTGGCCCTTATTACTAGTGGCAATGAATTCTACAACTCTGATATGCTGTAAAGTATGTTTTCATACATGTAATTGGCGAAAGTCAGTCTCTCCTGATCCAATTTCTCCTCTTTAGTACAACACCATTTTTGTCTTGTGTATTGTAACTAGTCCTTACTTGCCTTTTTTTTTTTTCCCCAATAACTTTTCTTCTAGAAAACTTGCCACTTTTGATACATGGAGTTCACTGGCAGTGCATATAGCCATGGACAACACTGTAGTGATGGAAGAAATTAGTAAGTATCACACAGAAGTAGAATGTGGCATGCCTTGTGGCAGCAAGAAGCCAGGGGAGAACTGGAAAACATATAGTAATACAGCACAACAAACTTGAAATAAAGACAGGAGTCTTAAAACTATGACTTAGTGTGCTAAAGCTATGACTAGTGTGCTAAAACCCAATGATTGCTGTTCTAGGGCAAGGAAGCCCCTTGTTTCGTTTTTACTTTGTCTGATAAAGCCTCTGACTTGACATTGTGACCTCTGGATCTGGAGAGAAGGACCTGCTGACTTTCAGACAATAGTTGGGAGCTACCTGGGAGGTAGTGTCAAACCTGTGCTACCTGTAGCGAGCAGTAAATGTCTGCTTCCTCTCTCTTTTAATGGGGTAGAAATGTCTCTGCCATTAGGCAGAGTAAGAAAGCTGGAACAGATCTCTGAAAACGAGCAAAATGTATTTCTTCCTCACCCTTCCCCCCCCTCCTCCCCCAAAAAACTTGTTTTGAAGAAGGGAAACCATCTCCAGAGATATCTTTTAAGGAGTGGTTACTCTTTTCTAGTGCCTCCTGACAAGAGGATGACTCCAGAGGCTAATAATAAGCTGTGGAACCTGTTCATACCTAGCATGCTTGCTCAGGCTTCACTGCCCAGGTAGCCAAAGCCAAATGGCTGATTCACTGGTTGCTGCAGTCCTGCATGGTCCTGGCCCCACCATCCTCCCAGTCTTGCTCTAGTGTTTGTGAGACCCTGACTCATGAGGCTTGGTACTTACCTGCCACAAAACATTCAATGTTTTATGCCAGGTTAGTGTGCTGAAATGAGACACAAAACAGTCTAGTAAGTGTTAGAGCTGGTGCAAAGTAGGATCATGGCAGACGGCAGTTAGATTGGCTTAGGCTGCCATGGAGCCGGAACAGGCAAGGACAGTTTGTCCTTACAGTGCAGGGTTGTCATTTTTCAAAGTCACATCTCTTACTGGTTAGTCTCAGTTGAGAGGCCAATAAATGGAGGATCCAGTTGAGCAGAAGTGCCTGTCTAACCTTAGGTGCCGGTAGTCGTGTGAAGTCATGTGCTGATGTTCTTGGCTTAAAGAAGGGCCAGCATGAAGACAGGAATTGGATTTATTTCACCTTTAGCCTGGAAAAACTACTTCTATACTGAGGCATGCTGGCTGCAAGGCTTGGGTATGCTGCAGGCTCTTGTCTGTGTGGCTTGTGTTGACCACTGACACCACTTCAAGTAACGTTTCTACGTGGCTTGTAGTGTGGGGTTTTTTGTTTGTTTTCCTCGAATGTGAATCATGCTATTACCGTTTTCTAAGACCTAAAAGTGACTGTGTGAATGCGTCTTTTGTGTTATGTGTCTGTATGTGTGTGCATATATATGTTATGCCCCAAATATCTCTGGACAGTGGAGCATTCAGAAGTTAATGCAGTTTTCTACATCTATTAAATAAATTCAGTTGCTAATACTATAGTGGGCATCTGTTCATCCGAAGGTGAATAGGAAATGCCTTTTGCTACTGCAGTGAAAAAACATGCGTTTAACCCTTCTGAATCAGTCCAATGTATCAGAAAGGTGATTTTAGTGGGGGTTTGGAGGATCCAGTGCATCAGAAAGGTGGTGAGAATCCAAGAAGAGTAAACCCAGTAGCTGACAGAAGCTGAAGCAGGGAAGATGCTGTGTCAACTCTTTGGAATGTATTTTCAGTAAACCATTTGAATTCAGGGTTTTGCTGGGAAGCTGTAGGTAGGTTCCACTGTGCTGTGGGACAATAGCGCTGCCAAATCTACTGAAAAAGCAGGATGAATTTAATCTGTGCTGAGCTCCCTACTACTTAAACTAGGGTTTAATATGTTCATATGACAATGCAGGATTGCCAGATACTTTGCCTGATGAAGAAACCTGCAGTTGTCGTTGCCCCCACCCCCTGGTGACAGCCCCAGATTGGCAGCTGCATTGGGCCCAGCTGATCATCAGAAGAGTCAGGCAACCCCAACAAAACCAGGATCTTTACTATTTTAATGAGATAGTCATGATTTGTAGTGAATTATTCCAGTTTTCTCAGGACCTCTGGCAACTATTGCATGTATGAGTATATAAAATATATATATATATAGAGAGAGAGATAAGATATGTATATAGATATCTATATATAGATCTATAATGCATGCACACTCTCCCTCCTAAAGAGAAAGTACATGGAGCATTTGCAAATTGTTCGGTGCAGGTTGTCTCTCATACTGATTTGGAAATCCATTGCACGACAAAGAGCTGTGAGAACAATGCTATGGCTTTCTAAAGACAAGAAACTGGGAAGTCCTAAAGTTCATTGCTAAAGGACTGGTTACAGCAAGAAGGTTTTTAAAGATGGCTCAATGGACATGAAAGTAACAGATACTTTGCAGGGAAAAAACACTCAATTAGAAAGCAATGCTGTACAACCAGCTAGAGCGTACCTCCTGAGACTTTAGATTGAAGTCCTACTTTCTTTTTTTTTTTTAATCCCCTCCTTAACGAGCTGGGATTCAGACCTTTAGTAGTCAGCAAACACCCTGTTGAAATTGCTGGTAATGAAGGTGTTATGACACTCTAGCAGGTAGGACACGGCATTCAGCTTGGGCAAGGAATAAATTAGATGGGTCTCTGGTACTTTATCTACTTGGCTTGGCTTCACAGTTAAGATGCTATGGGTTCTTTTGTTTTGGGGTCTTTTCTTCACATCTACACACACATGCACACATACCTAGCAAACAGTGGAATTGGCCAGTGAGACAGGTAGGCTTAGAGGTGTTTCTGTACCAGAATTTACCTAATCTGGTTGTACCGTTTACTGCCTGTGCATTTGTCAAGCCTATAGAATGCAGATGCATAGTGCTTATGTCATGGCTATGCCCTGAGGAGTTACATTGCCTTATATGTTACAGGCAAAGCTTATGCTAAAGTTGCAGAATTTAATGATTAATGTGCTTTAGGTCTCTTAAGTAGCTTCTGAATGATCCCTGTTTAAATCCCTAAAGAACTTAATGCCCCTTTAGGAAAATGACATCTTTCAAATCTTTAAGTCTCTAGCTTTGGCTGCACTCTGGTCGGATTGTCTTGTGGTTTGACTTGCTTGACTTTTGTAATATTTTTTGCCAGAAAAAGCCTAAGTCTTACAAACTACTTTAAACATATACCATGTTTGTATCTTGTTACAGTGCAAATTACAAGTGAAGCATTCCTGTGTTAAGCCCTAATATTTTAACATGGGTATCCTCATCCACTCCAACTCTAGACTTTTTTTTTCTTTCTGCCTACTTGCTCTCTGATTTCAGAACTTTTACCTGTCCTCCTGATCAAATTGTTTTAATGTTGTTGACACAGATGGTTGCTTAGCTGTTCACCTGCTGGAATCATTTGCATTTTGATGGCCCACCGACTGTTGGCTGGGAGCACAGCATGCTTTGGTGTAACCTTGATGTAAGCTTAGATGAAATTCTGAGCTCTGTCAGAAGCACTCTAGGGAGTAAATCACACCATCAGAGCACTGGACCTCTTAAAAAATAAAAATGAATAAAAATTTAAAGTGCTGTAGGCTTTTGATACATATCAGTTGTTGGTCAGAGGTAGAATAGAATTGTTCACGGTCCGGAGGCTGAGGTTGTTCCTGATGCTTTCTGCTCATGTTCCCTTTCTGTAGGGCGGTTGTGCCAGTCCAACTTCTCATGTGCTGGAGCTGCAGCATTCCCTGCTGTGGAGTCAGACCTGCTCTATAACGGGTACCCAGAGGAAGCAGGGGTTAGAGATAGGCTCTCAGTATGGAAGCCACTGGTGCTGCTGATACCTCTCCGTCTTGGGCTCACAGAAATCAATGAAGCCTATATTGAAACACTGAAGGTAGGGGATCTGGAGCTGAATTCCTGGTGTTTTGATGCTTAAAGACCCTGCTGTGAATTAAGTCATTTCTGTAATCTGGTTTTGGGGCAAAAATACTCAGAAGAAGTTGTCCTTTTTTCAAAAGAAAAATGGGTTTAGAGACAATTCTTGCTGGAGGTCAGGATGTGGGTTCCTGCAGGGTTTAGTCATAAAAATGGGATTTTTTTGAGGATTTTTATCCCACAGCTTAATCTCAGTCCCTGTCTGTGTACAGATGGTATCAACCTGCTGAAGCATTTGTTGAGCGCAGCTGCTGCGCTGTGCTTGGTAGCAACCTGAATCTTAATGAATGTTGCGTTTCAAACTTGCACGCTTCAACACTGGAGCCACAAGCAGACTGAGGGTATAAGTTGACCGATGACTGCAGTGTGGAATAACAGAAGGTTGCAGAGTTTGGGATGTACAGAGTCCGTGCCTAAGACAGGATGCACGTTGTCTTACTATCAGTCTCTCAGCTGCATGGGTAAGACAGCTCCAAATTCAGGCTAGGTAACTTGCCCTTTATTCAGTGAACAGTGCATGGATCACGCAGCTAGATACGGAAGCTAAATACAGACTCTTTCCTGAATTCCCTTGTGAGAGGACTGTTGCAACTTGGTGGCGAGTCCTAGTACTGCTGAAATGGAGGGGATCTTGCCACTGACTGCCGCAGACCTTGCCCATGCTGAGTGCTGGAATAGTGCTGCCTTCTCCATCTGGTCTACTTGTGTGTTCCTGTCACCAATTTAAAAGTGTTTATGAGTTGTTTCCCTGTCCCTTCAAGGCCCTGTGTTGCAGCCTTCAGCCTTTCTGGCAGAGCTTCTCTCCAGAAATGGCTGTTTTTGGCACTGGAGTTGCTGATTTTCAGAGTCCCACTCTTTTCTTCCCACTGTA